TTCTTGGGCTTTAGCCTAAAAAGAGTTGTATATATGGTATAATATTATCCGCTTTAGGTCGAAACCCGCATAATTTTGTTCTAGGACCTTAGTCCAAAACATGTTTTACCACGAAGAATACTAATCCTACATATATAACACTTCCCCTTTCCATACCCAGATAATATTGTGGGATCATGCACCCGTAACTAGCATGGTGTTCTGCCAGTGCCTTGCACCCTCTCTCAAGGTCGCCATAATCCATCCCCATAAGAGGCCCAATATCCCCGTAAGGGTGGATTTAAAAAACCTTGCGAATTGACTTGGGTTACGGGTGTGGTTCTGGCCGTATTGACTGCATCTTTTGGCGTAACTAGTTATTCCTTACCTTGGAACCAAATTGGTTATTGGGCAGTAAAAATTAGTGACTAAGGGGGTCGAAGACCAAGAAGTGAGTTATTTATACCTCTATCAATCAGATCTTTTATCAATAGAATAAAGTAGCTAGGCATATCTATTTCTTCATATTTCAACTTCTATGAAGTTTCTTTCTTTGCTACAGCTGATAAAATGAATAGATCTCTTTAATTGTATGACTTAGATGTCTCTTATTTCTCGAAAAAGTGATTCGATTGATGGGATTTGGTATGATACTTATAGATCGATGTATAACACACTTTCGGCTGGTCAGGCTTTGATACCATTATGTGATAACCTGGTTCACATGGTACAATATTGTACGCTTTGGACCGAAGACCTCATGGTTTTGTTACTGGGTCTGGCCTTAGCTTAAGTCGCGTTGTACCTTGGCCATGTGGGATCGTGCACCCATAACCTGCTAATACCTCACACCCGCCCACGAATACCCACCCATAAGGTCGTCACAACCTATGATCACTATTGAACGTACTAGAATATTTTGGCTATTAAAAGTTATAACAATTAAATGTGACACCTCACCCTAGGACTAATGGGAGCCCGCCGACCACGCTTTCCAACTAAATAGTAATTCCTGAGTGTAAAGGTATGATGTTGCCTCAAGAGTGTACTGAGTGAGAATGAGTGGGGTTTTAACACCTGGATGAATAAACCTTTAATACATAATAGTGAAATTTCTCTCTATAGACGTAGCATTAGAGTTGGATAAACCATGTAAAATATTGTGTTGTGTATGGATGTGTATGATTGTTATCTCCAAATATCCTTGTGTGATGATGTGACGATATATGATGTTTTCGCTATGTATGATGAATGAATGATTTAATTCTCAACAACAGCCTACCATTGAGTGGGTTAGAAGGAGTTACTTTTGCTAATGTATAATTGGCATTAGAGCCGCTGGTGGGTCAGAATACATAATTGGTCCTGAAGATCGGTGTACAGTTTGTCAGAGCAGAAGGTTGATCATAGGTACTATGGAGATTCAATCAAAGTTGATGATGACACAAGGTATATTGATAGTGTGAAGCCCATGAGGAACAAGTTTTGGGGACAAACCAAATAGTGAGTGCTAGTTCTAAAGTGGATAAGTATATATGGGATGGAAGGAAGAAATCAAGAAGAGATTTGATTCAATATAGAGAGATATTCGGTTAAGGTGGAGTTATGGAAGAGTGCGTGAAGATGGATTTTAAGCCAAGGTGGAGATTGTTGTGTTTGTGGCTCAAAATTAGTGTGTGGGAATATATATAGTTTCCTTTGTCCATTTAGGACTTTTCAAAAGGTCTAGACTTGTGAAGAAAATTATTTTTCATTGGGATGCTTCTATTTTATATTAGTGTTGTGATTGATATGATAACACTTTGTAGGCAAGTTGCCAACAAGAAATTGGTTTTGAAGATTTCATAAATATAGATAGTGTAATGTTTGTGTTTTTCTTATATATATATATAGATCAAAAAAAAAAAAAAGAAAAAAAAAGAAAAAAAAAAAAGTGGTGGGATCCACAAGTCATTATAACAAATATAATGGCTTTGAGATTGCTTATAGCTCAGAGCCGACAAAAGAGTTATGTGGATAGGCGGAGACGGCCGCTATCCGTTGAGGTGGGAGACCACGTTTTTCTTCAAGTTTCTCCACGGAAGGGGTTAATGAGGTTCGGAAAGAGTGGTAAGTTGTCGCCATGATTCATTAGACCTTTTGAGATCTTGGACCGGGTAGGAGAGGTTACCTATAGACTTACTTTGCCACCGCAGATGGACAGAGTTCACAATGTCTTTTATGCATCAATGCTACGGAAGTACGAGCCAGATCCATCTCACATTTTGAGTTGGGTTGATGTGGACATTGATGATAATGTTTCCTATGAGGAGGGACCAGTTCAGATCCTTGACACACAGCAGAAGGTGTTGAGAACAAGATGATACCATTTGTGAAAGTTCTCTGGACACATCATGGAGTTAAGGAGGCTACTTGGGAGCTTGAACATGAGGTTCACTCTAAGTATCCAGAGTTATTTTCTCCTTCAGGTATGGTTTGATATCGAGGATGAAATCTTTTACAGTTGGGGAAAATGTAATGTTTGTGTTTTTCTTATATATATATATGTAATTATGGTGTGTGCTTATATATATATATAGATAAAAAAATAAATAAAAAAAGTGGTGGGACCTGCAGGTCATTATAACAAATATAATGGCTTTATAGCCATTATCTTCAGCAATCTCACTCTCTCTCACGACCTATTCTCTCTCTCCCGCTAATATTTCTTTTCTTTTTCTTTTACAACTTCAACCTTTGATTCCTTCCTCAATTGTTGGAATTTTTGGGTGTCGTTTGCGGTAAAACGAAGAGTACGGCGAGATCTTCACATAGATATAAGCAATTTTAGCTTTGGTGCCTCCTTGAATTTTTGAATCTATGGCTTGGGAATTGGGGGTTTTCTCCTCCTTTGTGGTAGGGGTGTTTAATTCACGTTTTCTTGAAATTTTGTGAATTATTTTGTATATATTGTGTTTTAGCATACCTATTTTGGATGAATTCTTGCAATAATTGTTTAAATGATATATATATGCAAATGTGAGAGTATATGTTGATGGATGTGTTATGAGAAAGCATGCTTATATGAAATCAATGTATGTATGATATGCTTGTTGTGCTTATATTGTTGTTAAATGAGAACGTAATATCTTGAAATTTCATGTGCCGTATGCTATGCAGTTTTGAATGGAATTAAATGTGTAGTCATGAGTATTGACATAATATGATGCATTCATGCACTTCATTAGGAAGAAATGGGGAATGATGTTTTGAAAAAAAAAAAATGAAACGGGGTTTTCAGGAAGAAGTTTTCGACTACGGTTTTATGAAAAACCCGGTTGCCTAGGGGTTACCGAAGGGTCGTGGTGTTAGTGAGGTCTAGAGGGGACTAGGGAAATTCTCCTTAGTGTGGTTGAGCTATTTGGGCCCCAAATGACGCAACGGGGTTACCATGGGTCAGGGATAGTAGCCAATCATCTTCTCGTGTCGCCAGGGGGTCACCATAGGACGAGTTTCACTAACGGTTTGAAAATGATGATGGAAATGGTTTTGGAAAATGGGGAGCGACATTGTATGACATTGCACCCGTTGCACGGCATATTCATTCATGACTTGTTTTATAAATGTGATATTGTGGTTATTTTTCCCCGGTATAGCATGACCCCAATTACTTGGTATGGATTAGAAGATTATTTTGTTGTTTTTGTATCTAGGTCTCACTAATTTTGTAAAACTTAGCATATTGTATTCTGTACAAAAACTTATGGACTCTTGTTGTTGTAATTATATTTATGGGCTGTAACTTTAATATAAGATGTTAAACATTGTAAGACATGAACTTTTGATCTTAACCATATATTTTTGGGACTGTAATTACGATATTTGGATTAAATAGTATATGGTTATTCCACCATGAGATGAACTATGTTGAGGCATAATGAATGGATGAAAGGGATGCTGGAATGTATTATATGTATTGTGTGTTGGGATAGGTTGGGCAAATCTTGAAGGCCAAGAAAGGCCATTGCATTTTTTTTCATTTAAGCAGGTTGTTGTAGGCCACTTTTTAGCAGAGGTCATGCAGAATTTTTTTTATTTTTTTATAATTGGTATCAGTTTAGGGTCGTTACAAATAGATTTGGGTAGAGAGATAGAGAGAGGAAAAAAGTACGGGGTTTAAGGATGAGTCTATGGGAGAGTATATGTAACTCTTGAGTGTAAAGATGTAACTTCAAGAGTGTGATGAGTGAGAGTGAGAAGATTTTTGACATCTAGTTATATATTCTCTTCCTTGATACATAATAGTGATATTTGTCTCTCCATGCATGGACGTAACTCTATAGTTGGGTGAACCTTGTAAAATATTGTCTTGTACGTACGTGAATATGTATGATTATTATTTTCATATATGCTTGTGTAATGATGCGATGATAATATTTTTGTTGTATATGATGAAGGAGGAATTTAATACTCAACATTAGTCGATGTAGCTTCTCATATTTCATGTTCAATTTCAGATATTGTAGATTAATTAATCCCAACAATGGCATTGATCTTTATCCCATATTGTGGATTGATCATGATCATCACTTAATGGATCACTTATGATGGATATTTATTATTGAAATTTAATTGTTCATACATTGACTGATATTTACATGTATTGATAGAAATTCCCCATTTCAATAATCCTTTTAAGGCACACCAATTCATTCATTTATTTACAATATCATAAAATATATACTTGCTAGCAATCACTCCACACACGTTAGTTCATCACACTATATTACAATATACATGTAAAACACCATATTAGGGGCACATGTACTTCTTACCCATACTAGTACGTGGAATAGGTATTGGTTACTGGGATAGTATAGTACCCAATCAGTGATAAAATATCATTTCCTATTATTAATTAAGGAAATGAAAATTTTTCATTGGTGGGTACCACATAAGTAGGTACCCTTTCCATACTAGTGAGCTATGTGGCATGCATGAATCCATTGCGATCAACAAAGGGTTGATTCTTTTTATTTGATTCTAATTCTTTGGAACCCAACACCCATGCAGTCCATACGGAAGACCATAAGGGAATTTTGCTCTTGCAACCTCTTCGAATGTGGATGCGTCTAATAACAATGCATATCCTTCGCCATTTTTGTCACTTATCATCGATATTACCACTCCTGTGATCACAAATTTATGCATGTTAATTAAAATTCAGAAAGAAAAAAAAAAAAGTTCATTTAGAAATTAATCTCATATACGAAGGTATACACACACAAACACACAAACATATATATATATATATATATATATATATATATATATATATATATATATTAATTCTGACAAAGTAGGGGGAGAGGGACTTGAATATGGGCACACCTACTCGTGAAGCTAAGCGCACTACAAATAGACCACGGGATAATGCCCAATCTCATGCAATATAGAAGCTCAAGTTTTTTTTAGGTAAGGATATAGAAGCTCAAGTTTCATTCAAAAGATTACTTTTGAGGTGTGAAACTAATTATAGGGTACAATTTTTACTTATTCAAAATGAAAAATATATGATGCAATTATCTAAGGTTGTGACATTATTGCTTAGTTTATCATGTTTCTTATTTCTGTTGAAATACATATATATATATATATATGCATGTGTATATATATATATATGTATGTATGTATAGGGACAATTAAAGGGAATATTGTCTCCCATTGTTAAACAGAAGAATGAACATTTCTCAAGTACAATAAAAAGAAGTAAGAATTGTCGGGACATTCAGGAAAGACCTTGCAAACAAATGAATGGGTCCAACGTGAAGGCAATAAACAGATTTGAAGAAAATCAGGCCCATGGCCCAGGTGATTATGCCCATATATATTATATATACCCCATGTATGCTTCTTGAAATTTCAACTTCTACCCCTTGCAAATGCTAAAAACCAATGTCACATCAAGTTGTGATTATTTTGGGTGAGATAACAACTCAATCAATTCATAATTGATAGTAAGAACGATAATTTATATTACTGATGACTCAATTCATTCACAATTCCCATAATTTTTTTTATACTTTGCTAATTAAGTTCTTATTATGATAAAGAAATAAATTAAGTTGGTATTATTATTAGTTTGTAATGGAGGCAAATGGCATTTAGAGGGCATGATGTCTAATAACTTACCATCATCTTCCTCAGTTGCACCAGGTCTACCCACAAAGAATGGCTCAGAGGGCACCGCACCCTCGTCATACCAGTTCTTCGCCTTTCCCTCTACCAAGTCAAGCTGCAATTAATAAAATTATCTCAATCCAACAAATTTATATATACAAAACTTTTATATATATTTATTTATAGGTACGTACCTTAGTGAGGGTGTTGGGGAAGTTACAAGGACGTTGAGCACCACAAGCATATGCATATCTGTATTTCTTGCCCAAGTAGGCTGGGTTGATGCTGCACATATCCATGCCCTTCCCATGTTCTTCTGGCTCCAGTGCAGCCTCTAACTTCCCATATGGACTTCCATCCAATGGTATTATGAAACGACCAACCCTGTTACATATTGTCAAATATATTATAAATACATATATTTATATTCTAGACCATATATATCATTAATTACTATCAAAAGTCCATGCTGATGGTCTAGTGCAGAAGAGATAGTGAAGATCATTTTACACGGGAAGTGGACATCATCATTTCTAGGTTGATTTGACTCATCTTTCCTTATGTACTGGATTCAAATCAAGAACCCAAAATCAAAGTCAAGTGACGTATACAATCCTCTTTTCGCTTAGAGTCCCAATTTTTAAATAGTTCCTTTGCTGAGCAATTCAACCGAAATGATGGGCTAGCAAGATTATTATTAATTCTTCTTGAGTTTCTTCTTCCCCATAGAGATGGTGAGGATTCCAAGTTTCATAGCCACAAATGGGTGTATAAGTTTCTTTGCAATGAAAAAATAATGAGACAGTTGATGGGTCGCTTTTAGAATCGGATCTCGGCTGCCAAACTAATTCCCATTCATAATTTATGAACCGACAAAATTGTGCAGCCTGCACTAATATATATATATATTTATTTATTCCATTTTATATAGAATTGTAGAATTATATATACCTAGCATCTGGTAAGACGTCTTTGCCGGTAAATGATCGGAGATGTTGCAATCTGAGCTTGTCTAAAATTGTTGTGTCCGCGTTATGTTCGCAACAGTCGGCAATAACTGCAGTCACCCTTCCATCCTCGTCTTTCTCTTCGTATGCATTGATAAAGTGGAATGTCACGAATAATGGAACCTCCACACTTGCCACCTTTATAATTTGACCAACAACAAAAATTTATTAATATTCCTTATATCACTATCGTATGTTTTGTAATTATTCAAGAGTCGAACCTAGAATGTCCGAGTTTATGATTCTTATTAGAAAAACTCTTTATCCAGTAAAAGAGAGAGAGAGAGGACTCACAATCTTCCCACTAGCTTTACACATGATATGCATAAATCCTTTGGACTCCGGATGCCACTCGAACTTGTAAAGTGGTGTGGGCTCAGCTCTTAGGAGATTTTGGGCACAGTACCTCAATGGCATCTCCGGTACAACCACATAGTGTTCGGTCACCGGAAAAGAGTGAACCCAGCCCGGTGATGGTCCACCGCGGCAACTCACTCTCCCGATCATCTTCCTCTCATTCGTCCCTGGCTCCATCCTCACCACCTTGTACCCCGGATTCACCAAATCCGGCAACAAGGTCAGGAACTCTGTATCCGTCACAATGGGATGAGCCGAGTGAATTAGGCCACCCAGTGAGTCACTGTACTCAAACTTCCCTATTGTGTCCAATGTGTCCGGATCAATCACTATTGACCCTTTGATCGTCTCCGTCAGGCAAACAACCCGTCCGTCGGCTAATTTGACAACTCCGGTGTTTGCGTTATCGGTCAGTGATGCACCGGAAAATAGGTTAGCTAGGTCACCAATATAAGCTAGGAAACTATCTGGCTTAGGGGCTTCCGAAAATTCACGGTAACAAAGTTTATTGTTCTTCTTTGCTGCCTTATAGGCCTCGGATTCGATTTGCCGGTGACCCATTTTTAGCCGGCCGTTCTTGAAATGAAGGCGGACGAGGGTGGCGTAGCCATCAAATAGGTGCCGGAAGTCGTAGTCTCCTAGGTGCCATAAGCCTGGACCATTTCTTAGGTACGTCCCACTCTGCATGGAATTAATCAATTCACTAGTTAGATTAAAAATAATAATAATAAAAAATAAAAAATAAAAAATTAATACTACCCATTTTAATTTTTTTTTTTTGAAAAGTAAATTAAAATTTATAGAAATATATGGTTCAGACAAAGTAACCATTTAAATTTTGGTCAAATTGGAGTGTATGTTTCATAAATACTATAACCCCCCCCCCCCCCCCACAAAATAACATAATGTTAGAAAAATGATTTGGAATAAGACATGTACACGTATGGATTTCGAATGCGACATTATAAAATTTAATTCAATTAAATTAAGCAAGCAAGGTTCTAGTATGATCTTCCACCACAAACATAATAGATGGACAACGCACGCCTTTTAACTTAATATTATTATATCATTAAAAAAATTATTCCCCTCTCTCTCTGTATATGTATGTATATAATTAATGTTTATTGACAGATTTTCGTTGTAGTAGTCATCCAAAGGTGAAATAATTTATGGTATATGTACGACAGAATGACGAAGAAAAAAAAATAAATAAATAAAGTAAAATAAAATTCTAAATTTTAGGAAAATATTATTTCTTGATTTGGATATACCCTAGGGCCACATGTATAATGCCAAAAAAAAAAAAAAAAAGGGCAAAGCAGAACAAATAAAAACCAGAGATACAACTGGAGCCTAAGAAATACTAAAACAAGTAACCAAAAAAGGAGAAATAGTGCAACACACAGACAAAACTAAGAACAAAGCCAAGCAATCTAGAAAAGTGAGAAGCACTAAGAATGATTTGACATACATTAACAAAACAACTAATAATAAACATTCCTATTGAGAAGCACTAGAAATGTTTGCTAGATCAGTAAATCCATCGTACTGGCTTCCACTACATTCTCCAGTAAATTGGCGAAAACCAAAATAATCGATTACTGGTTTAGTTTTGTTTTGGTGACTTTGGATCTTAACTTTTAAGTTTGAGGTCAACATTAATTTCAAGAGTGGTAGAGAAAAAAAGGAAAGAAAAAAAAATTATTGACTCTAAGGTCTTGAAACAGATATTATATATACAATTAGTCACTGTTTTATAGTACTAATAAGTTATATGCACTGTACATACATAAAATGACTATATATGACACTGAATTTGTAATTTTACATACCAGCCATAGTGGTATTTCGCCTTCAACGAGGAGCTCTCCTTCCCACCGTTCTTGCCGGACGCTTGTCCAAGCGGCAAGCTTCCGGTCATGGACGAACTCTTTCACCGGCGAAGGAAAAGCTACCGGCAATCTGCTTGCAACATTGGTGATGGTTAAGTCGCCCATGTTTCGTTTCTTAGACGAAATGGACTTCCCACCAATAGACACGTCTCTGACATGATCGGAGTTACCGGAACCTGAGATACATGACCGCCAAGCATAGTTTCCGGTAGCCGGAAAAGCTAGGGAAGGCATGGAAGGGTAGATATGGTAGCTTGCTAGCTGCAAAGAGATGTGTACAAGACTTTAGGTTTGAAACTTGGGGACATATTGGAGCTAAGCACTGATAATGATATATTTATAGGACCTATGAGCTATATAAGTCTATATGCATATATACATGTAAGTATTGGAATCTTGATTGGTGGAAATCCTTTACAGTAGAAGACAGCTTGTATTAGGGTTGCTACAATTTTGCAGCCTAGTAGAAAGGAATGGAATCCATTTAGAATCAACCACTAAGTACTTGACACGTTAGAAGTTAGAATGACTTGGCAAATGACCTATTTTATTTTATTTTACTTTATTTTATTTCTTGGACAATGCTATAATTAAGTCAAAATAAGCAGCACAAACTACAGGCCAAACAGTTTTATCTGTTTGATGCACTGTTATGACATATCCCACAAGGATGCTTTAGAACTTTTTACGCGCCATTTTGTTTTTCTAAAAATTGAATCCAATGACAAACGTCCCACGTACCCGAGAAAAACTTAATTATTTTGAGAGTAGTGATTATATAGTATCACCTATTGATTATAAACACAGTGACAGAACTCATCAAAATAGATGTCCTCTTATAAGCAGTGTGTAATACGATATTAGAATAATTAAGGTTTTTTTTTTCATCCACTCAGAGTATTGTCTTGGTAACGCTCAACTTAACATACTAGTTATCATACACGGTAAGAGATGACAAAGTTGATCAAGAGTGAATAGGATGAGATTATTAAAAATGATTTTAAAAAGTTAAATACAATAAGTAAAATAAAATGTTATAAAAAAGAGTGGAGCCGAACGGCAAGATCGATGAAACGTAAATAACAACTTTTATGTATATGTTAAAAAACAACTACTTTACACCACTTATATAATACAGGGTAACAATTTTAATGTATAATGTAATATGTTGCAATAATAATTTACACGCAGCACGAGACTAAGGCATAAGATTCCTTCCAGGAGGGAATATAGATTCGATGAAGATAATGTTTGTTTGTTTCACTTTTTAAATTTTTTTTTTTTAAATTTTTTTCCTTGACTATGTTATACTTATTCCCGCTTACCCAAATACTAGTATAGTTAGTCACATGTGTTTATGTACATGTATTAGTTTACTTATGTTATAGGTGGTGAGTCTTACAAATGGTTTTTGCATTATGTTTTTCTCACATCACTCATGTAAAGTTAGTTTTTCAAGTAATAGATTATTATGCTATTAAATAAATATGTTAGTAAATTAATCACTTTATTTCCCTCACATAGCCAGCTGAATTGATGAGAATATCACTTGGTTTCCAAGGAAATCTAAGTTAGGAGAAACGAAACCACCTAACCGTGGCACCTTTTTCTTTTATTTTATATTTTTCTTTTTGCAAATTCAAATAATGCTGAACAACATTTGGAGGCTTATGGGAGGAATATTCCTTAATATGATGAGAATGTTTAATATATATATATATATATATATATATATATAATTTATTTATATGTGCGGATAGAGATGTTGTGGCATGAACTATCTGGCAAATTAATTTTAATTTAATTAAAAATCTCCAACGACAAATTTACATGAAAATTGAGAGAGAAATAAGAGATCCATCTGTTGACGTTGTCGTTGCATCTACAACTCTTTTTTAAGGAAAAACTTGGTTGCATTATTATTATTTTTATTTTATCTTTTTAAATAACATCACTTTTCGTGTTGAGTAAGGGTTGTGATACTCAGGCAGCAATGTCTGACCGATTTACTAGGCATAATTGATGTGGCGGTCCAGTTGGCATAATTTAATCATATTTGGTTTATCACAAGTTTTTGCTTGCTTTGAAGACCCATTTCTTCCAAGTTCATCACCACTGGGATTTCACTGTCAGCAACCATAAGCCGCCGGCTAATTCCTATCTTCTCCATCGTCGGACTCGCCAACCTTAATTGTGTCGAAGCCTTTACACCATCATGGTAGCAGTTTCTCATCGCTTCAAAACCAAACTCACCTCACGATAGACCCAGTTCAGCCGTCCTCTAAGCTCATCACTCTGCCGTAGAGCTCGCCACCATCCTTGTCACCACTGCTCATTACCAAACACCAGAAACAGCACCACCGTGTTCCATCATCATCGGGTTTTTGTTGGAAATAGTGGCCTAGTTACACACACAACACTATACTATTTGGAAGAGAATAGAAATGGAGGAAAATACTTTTTATTTCACTTTTAATCTATTATTTGACTAGAGTACATGAATATATAGGCCTCACATATGTATGTGTAACCATTACATTTAAATGTTCATAACTCTCCTATCTCCCACTAACATAATCTTCAATATGCATAACTCCCACTAACATAGTATTTGTTAGGCTTAACTCTCATGACTCTTTATTTTACATAACCTTAACTCCCACTAAGACAATTTACTACCCACTAACATGCTAAATTAACACATGCATAATGGATACAAAAATACTTGAAAATACTAAATACTAAAATCAAGTTTATTTTCAACATCAAGCTCTACGACTCCAACTCGGCGGTTCTCACAGCCCTCGCCAGCTCTAACATCACAGCCATCGTCTGTAGTCACAGTTCTGATCCTCGTTCCTCACGCGCCCACGCTCCTGCGAGTATATCTAACTGGCATACGCGCTCCTTCTTTAGCAATGTATTTCTGGTGCCGTTAACCCCTTGTTGATCATCACGCTGCTCTCTGACGTGGCCATTGCCCTCTGTCGGATCAAGAACTCATCATGGACGTGCCACAACTGGGTTGTTGCACCTCTGCAACTTCCGGTGTCGGCCTTGTGGGTTAGATTCCACCCAACACAATTAAAAAATTAACTCAACTCTGAGTCCTCGGCCTTAGTGCCAACCGCTTCTCTGGCGGCAAGTACGCCTCACCAGTGCAGATTCCACCCAACACAATTAAAAAATTGACTCAACTCCGAGTCCTCAGTCTTAATGCCAACTGCTTCTCCGGCGGCAAATACGCCTCACTAGTGCTCTGTACCGTCGCCTGCGAGCTAATTGGCGGTAGGGAATTTGACATGATGCCTACCAGCGACTCCCTCCTCGCTTTCGCCTTCGAGTATATCGCCACCGTTATAACAGAGGTCTCATCGGCAGCGATTATTGCAATTTGCGTTGGCGGAGCGCTTTTTCTGTTTTTCTTATTGATTCTCATCATTTGTGGGTGGTCTCTGTTATTTCTCAAACAATTTTTTTACCGTATCACAACTAGATCCAGATATTATTTTATGGGTGGTCTGTTGTTTCTCTAATAAATTCTCATCATATCACAACCAGATCCAGATGTGCTACCGAACAACCATCGGTTCAAACATGATGAGAATTAGAAAGAGAAAAAGGAGAATCACCCAGAGGTTGGAGAGAGAGAGAGAAGAGACCGGGGAAGATAAACTTTTTGCCAGCTAGATGCCACCTAGGATTCTGCCTAACAAATTAGCCAAATCCATCGGCGTAAATATTATTTCCGTAGAGTAAAGGATGTGATATCGAGGAAGAAATGTCTGACCGATTTACTAGGCAGAATTGATGTGGCGATCCAGCTGGCATAATTTAATCATATTTGGTTTATCACAAGTTATTGCTTGTTTTGAAGACCCATTTCTTCCAAGTTCATCATCGTTGGGATTTCATTGTCGATAACCATAAGCCGCCGGCCAGTTCCAGTCTTCTCCATCGTCGGCGTCTCTCCGTCGTCGATTTGCTTTCTTTTCCATCGTCAGACTCGCCAACCTTTATTGTGTCGAAGCCTTCAAACTGTCATGGCCGCGGTTTGTCCTCGCCTGAAAACCAAACTCACCTCCACCACAATAAACCTAGTTCTGCCATCCTCTAAGCTCACCACTCTACCTTGGAGCTCGCCACCATCCTTGTAGCCATTACTCGTCGCCAAACACCAGAAACAACACCACCGGGTCAAGCTCTACGACTCCAACTTGGCGGTTCTCATAGCCCTCGTCGGCTCTGGCATCATAGCCACCGTCTGCAGTCACGGTTCTGATCCTTGTTCCTTACGCGCCCACGCTCCTCCGAGTAGATCTAACTTTCTCACGTGCTCTTTCTTCAGCAACGTATTTCCGGTGTCGTTAACCCCTCGCTAATTATCACCGCTGCCCTTTGCCGCGACCATTGCCCTCTGTCCGATCAAGAACTCATTGTCAGCACGCCACAACTGGGTTGTCGCGAAAAAGAAAAACGCCAAAACTCTCCGAGAATTAAAAAAGAAATAGTCCATATTTCTAAATTCACAAAGTAAAAATTTATAGAACTATGAAGTTTGAATATATCAATTCATTTTAACATAAGTCAAAATTTTCTTAACTACGGATTTTAATAAACCAAATGTAGTATCAGATAAGAACTCACAGACTCAAAATATATACACATTTAATTACTGGTGTTCAAATCTTCATTAATCTATACTTTATTATATATTAGGATTTAGAACTTCAGTAATAGTTCACTTATCTATAATTGGGATTTAGGATTTTGGTAATGGGGAGAGGGAGAGTTTTTAGTTTCCCGTTTGTGAGAAGAAAGAGGAAGCACCATATTTTCTATTTTTTCTTTCCTTTTTTTCCTTTTCTTTTTTTATTTATACAATGTAAGAGACCACTCTTTCTTTTTAAATTCTGACGTAACCTAGCCAAGCCATATTTGAAAAGTTTTCGTGCTTTTCCTTTGCCGTTGTCTATCATTACTCTTCGATGTATTTATCAAAATTGTCTAAAGTTAAAACTAACAAATTGAACATTACAACTGGCAAACCCCACACCTCTAGCTCTCTCTCACAAAAACTCCAATCCCCTCATGTGAAGCATTACATTATTTATGCAATAACTTCGTTAAATTGTTTATGCAATAATATTTTTATAAAAACTTTCGGAAAAATATATATATATATTTTTATAAATCAGTTGCGAATGTCCTCAACCGGAGGGATTCCGGGTTCACACAAACAAAGAAAGAGAAAAGAAGGTTGTACACACACACACACACATATATATATATATATCTATCTGGCCGTCCAAAGTGACGGGTGAAAGCAAGCAGAATTGTTGGGCCATTTTGAAGGTCCAAAGCAATGATATTGCCTTCCATTTGAAACTCTCCACCAATATATATATATATATTCCATCATCATTTGACCTTCATTAATTTGTCCACTCTTTTTCTTAGTCCATGCCTCTTTGGGAAAGCTACAACTTTTGTAATATAATACTACCATTTTTAGCTGACATTGCAATCTGGGACCTAGTGTCCCCCATCCTCTCTCACACTAAGCCTACTGAAATCTAAATTCCACAACAACATGGCAAACAAAAACTCATGATTTGTCACAAATAAATAAATAAATAAATATATTGCATGTACCTAAAATTAAACTTTTAATCATTATTTGTTGCTGTTGCGAAGGAAATTGAAAGTGTCTCATATATGGGTTCCCACTTCTTGAATGAAAAACTCATGATTTGTGTATTGACAAAAGTTTTCTTTTTTTCTTTTTGTTTGTTGTTATTTTTGGTAATTAAAATTAATTTACCGACAAAAAAAACCAGGAATACTCGTAAAAGAAGGACAAAATCCAAATGGCCCACAACAACGCAGGCAACCAAGATACAGCAATAGCACCTGACAAAGAAACCCGAGAAAGGAAAAAGCCCAAATAAGCCAAAACTTTTACGCTAATGGTCAAAACCCTAAATATAATGTAGCCGAGATGGTAAATTTTAGTGTTGTATGATTTTTCATGTAATGGATTGAAAAATAGACCAAACGTGTTCAAAAGTATATATAATATGTTAAAACGCCAACAATTATAACAAAGAGATTACAATAAAGAATTCGAGCTATGTAGTTTAACCGTATAACTAATTTTTGTTTTTTTGACTTAATATAAGGTTATTAAATCACGGATTAAACAAGACATAAACTCGTGTTATGATTGATCTTAGATTGGAGAAATGATTAGTACAAGGCATTCACTATTGAACAAGGGTACAACTGGTATCAATGTAGTTCCAAATAATTCCCCTGGATGAATGTATAATTTAAATACCCGCAGATAGAGGAAGGTTGTTAAATTAACGCATTATCTCATAAGATTGAGATAGGCTCTACAGATTGCGATAAGGATTAACCTTACAGATTACGATAAGGATTAAGACGACGGTAAGTTTACGTTACATCCTGATCTAAGCCCTATAAATAAAGGGTCTAATCGACGTTTTAAAATATGCAATAGATCTTAACTCAATTTCTTAATTTCTCCATAGAGATTACTTTGTATACTGACTTATTCGTCGGAGCCTACTCCACCGGTAACACCGATGCCTGTAGGATCATCTTTTCTTCTCTTTGCTCAGGAAGTCAGTTCAGATCCGGATTGTGCATAATCCATCATCAACAGTTGGCGCCGTTTGTGGGAAACGATTTTAGTTCTCTAAACAAAGTATGGTTCGATTGCTATCTGGTCTGGCTGCTGGCGAGGACAAAACATTGCAGACTTCTGATTAAGGGGACTCGACGAGGCAACCCCCCGTCGTCCCAAATGATTAGGAACGCGTCGCAGCGTTGGAACAACAGGTTCAATCCTTAAATGAGGGAATGAACCAATTAGTCCAGCAAAATGCGATGATTCTGTAACACTTAGCCACCCCCAATGAGGTAGGGAACAGTGAAGTACCTAACAATGACTCCCGTAGGATCGACAACAACGCTGAGCTTAGTCAAATAGGGAGTCAACAGAGAAGCCATCACCATTGATATCGGTCTCTTGAACGGAATACCGCCAGGCTCCGTGGAGATACCTCTGGTTGTGTTGGCGATAAGACTGAGGACATCACTCATTTCGATCTACAAATGCAATATCTGAGAGCTAGGGTCGAAGTCGTCATCCAAGCGATGAAATGGAAGGGCCAGGCCGTAGTGAACGATCTAGTACAGAAGACC